GAAGCTTAGTGCCCCTCGCCCTCTGGGGATCCCTGCTCCTTCCTGGAAGGGTGGGGTGGGGGTGTGTCCTGACACCTAGCCCTGCTCCTCAGGGAGCTACGCCATGGCCGAGCTGGTGCGGAACGTGCGCAACGCACAGTCTCCGCCGCGACCAGGGGCCCGCCTGGAGGAGGACACCGTGGTGGCCGTGCTCAACACCATCCACGAAATCGTGTCCGACAGCCTAGATAACGCCTGCTCGCTCCTGCAGGCACGCGGGGTGCCCGCGTTGGTGGCTCTCGTCGCCTCCAGGTGTGGGGGGGGGGGTCGGTGGCTTGGGGAGCCGGGGAGGTGGGGGAGGGGCCACCACTGACCTCGACCCTGACCCCAACCCCACAGCCAATCGGTACGGGAGGCGAAGGCCGCGTCGCACGTGCTGCAGACAGTGTGGAGCTACAAGGAGCTGCGTGGTACCCTGCAGAAAGATGGCTGGACCAAGGCGCGTTTCCAGGTACCGCCTTTCCCGGCCTTCCCGCTCACTTCCCCGCATTCCCCCTCCACGGGCCTCACCCACTCTGTGTGTTTGTTTTATGTCTCAGTCAGCTGCTACTACTGCCAAGGGGCCTAAGGGTGCACCGAGTCCTGGGGGGTTTGACGACAGCACGCTGCCACTGGTGGATAAGAGCCTCGGTGAGTGGTGGAGGTTAGGGGCCTGGAGCGTGGGGACCAACCCCAGCTCCCCAGCTGCCCCGACTGCCTGAGCCTTGAGTGAGGGTGAAAGGGGAACGAGGCCTCCCACTGAGACGGCTCCAAGTCAGGCCCCTTCCCCTGCCCTCTGCCTCTCGGCTACTCCCTTCCTACAGCATTTGTGCTGGTGTCAAGCATGGCAGGGGAGGGAGCGATTGCCAGCTGGCAGAGGTTGGGCACCTTAGTGACAGCATCTAGGGCTACCTGCGCCAGCCCTGTGTGGGCTTCTCTGCCCCACTCCCCTTTGGCCACTGCATGCAGCCTGCCTCTTGCTCCTGCCTTGCAGAGGGCGAGAAAACTGGCAGCCGGGAAGTTATCCCCATGGACGCACTGGGCCCAGGTGAGTGCAGACGCAGTGTGCTTTGCTTTCTGTGTGGGAGGGGGGAGCAGGGCCTGAGGTGGGCCTGCTGGTTTTTGTTTTTTTGGTTTTTTTTTTTTTGAGACGGAGTTTCGCTCCTGCTACCCAGGCTGGAGTGCAATGGCGCGATCTCGGCTCACCGCAACCTCCGCCTCCTGGGTTCAGGCAATTCTCCTGCCTCAGCCTCCCGAGTAGCTGGGATTACAGGCACGCGCCACCACGCCCAGCTAATTTTTTGTATTTTTAGTAGAGACGGGGTTTCACCATGTTGACCAGGATGGTCTCGATCTCTTGACCTTGTGATCCACCCGCCTCGGCCTCCCAAAGTGCTGGGATTACAGGCTTGAGCCACCGCGCCCGGCTGGGCCTGCTGGTTTTATGGGGTGTAGCTGGTGCCGGGTGGAGAAGAGATACTTGGTTTAGGGGTACTCAGAGAGTGAGATGCAGGGCAGCTAGAGAGGGGGTAGTGCCCAGCCGGGAGCTCTGACCCAAGTGGAGGGGAGTCTGGAGAGCTGGAGCTGCCCTGGGGACAGGCAAGGGTCTTACCACGGTGAGGCAGGGTATTGGTGAGAGCTGGCACCAGCCTGGATCTCCAGGACAGGGTGGGTGGGGACCTCCCAAAGTCCTTGTCCCACGAGTCCCCTGTGTCTGGGCTGAGAGGGAGATCTGCTCCTACAGGGCCCCTCTTAGCGTGCCCCTCACACCCCATCTTACCCCATCTGCAGATGGGTACTCCACAGTGGACCGGAGGGAGCGGAGGCCGCGGGGCACTTGCTCTGCAGGAGAGGCCTCTGAGAAGGAGCCACTGAAAGTAAGTAGCCGTGTGATTGTGTGCAGGTGCCCGCTGGGCTGGGTCTGGTCTGGGCCCTGGGGTATAGCTGGGTTGTGGGGCCAAGCCCAGGAAGCAGCCCCTTCACGCCAGTCAGTGTGGGTACTGAGAGGTTTGCAGCTCCTACCTGCTGGGGATGGCACTGCCCGGCCACACCCTGCATGGGGTGAAGCCTGTGAGCTAGTGTGTGTGCACCCTTCTGTGCATGCCTGTGCAAGGACCCACCGGTGAGGGCAGTACCTGCTGCCTGCTGCGTGCCAGTCCCCCGGCTTCCTGCGCAGGCCTGTGTGTGTGCACGTCCCTCCACCCCCGCCCATGTGAAGCGCACCTGTCCGGCTCCCTTCGCCCTCAGTGCTCCCTGTGCTGCTCTGGCAGGCCCACCCTTACATCGCCAGCCTCGGCCCTGCCCCTACCCTGCCCCCCAGGAGCTCTGACTAACCTGCTCTATTGTGCCTCTAATGCCCACCTGTGCGCTGCAGCTCGACCCCAGCAGGAAGGCCCCTCCCCCAGGGCCCAGCAGGCCCACGGTCAGGCTGGTGGACGCCGTGGGGGACGCTAAGCCTCAGCCCGTTGACTCCTGGGTCTAGCTTGCATGCCTGGTACGTTTCTCTCATCTGGGTTTTCGTCTGACTGTTCCCGCTCTCTGGGCGGGGGCTTCTTGTTGGTCTCTGCTGTCTGCACGCTCTGCTCTTCCCGCACGTTCCCCGCAGGACTTTGGCCTCCAGTGCAGCAGCCCAGTGGCCCATTCCCGGGGAAGACCAGGTGGAGGTCAGAGAGGGAGGGTGCTCCCTGGGCCCACAGCCCTGTCCCAGGTACTGTGGGATCAGGGGCCTGAGGAGATGGGACCAGAGTAGGGATAGGCACCATTCCCTCCAGCGCCCTTCAAGGACCAGCAAGTCGACTTAGGGTCAGTCAGTCCTGGTGCCAAGACCCTTGGGGTCAGCCCACAGCACCCAGGGCAGCTGCTTCTGTCTGCATCTCCATCCATGCAGCGTGTGGAGTTGGCCGCCCTGCCCTGAGGTTGCACGTGGTCCTGAGCCGCTCGGTGGCTGCAGCATCTACCACCCGCTCTCCCTCTGCAGGGCCGTGGCCCAGCCTCTTGTTCTTAGGGCTGGGATCATGGAAGAAGCAGATCCTGCCGTGGAGCTTGGAGCCCCCTGGCGGCAGGGCTTGGCAGCACCTCACCCCAGCCAAGACCGACTTTGGGGACACCCTCCTGCCCTCCGCCGGCCCCCGCCCCACCTAACTCCCTAGGCCCGAGTTAGCTGTTTACTGACATGGTGCTGTGTGTGGGCGAGTGACAGAAGGCCCGAGGAGGCTGACTGGGCTGCGGGGGCAGGGCCCAGGGAGATGGCAGGGAAGGGTACTTGGCTGGGCTTTGGGGCTGGTGGGACAGGAGGGTGCCCCTGGGAACACAGTGCCCCAGAGGAGTGGGCCAGGTCTGGCACCAGGGGCAGGTGGCTAGTCAGGGAGGGGGCTGGGAAAGAACGACTCCATAAGGTGGAGGGGCTTACTGGGCACCCTGCAGGCAGGCAGACCACGGTGTGGGGGGTGCCTCGTGAGGCTCAGTCCAGGGCAAGGAAGCTTTGGAAGCAGCAAGATGGGGGTCAGGCTGCAGGTGCCCCACCTCCCCAGAGTCCAGACAGCACGCGAGACCCCTGTGCTGTGGAGCCCTTCCCCAGCTGATGCCGGCTGGGGCCGGGGCCGCTGCATCTGCCTGGATCCCGGGCGGCACCTCCAGGACTGACCTTCGGCAGCGACACGGGGACAGCTTTCAGTGCCTGCTCGGTCCATGACTCAGAAACAGAAGAAAAACACTGAGAAAAAGCATTAAAAATGATGCCAAAATAAGACTATTGGTAAACATTTAAATTTTTGTAAGAAAATTTAAAAATTAAAGCAGCAAAGGAACGTCTTGCTTTCTGCCACTCGGGTCTGGCACAAGTGGCTGGCTCCTCCCTTGCGTCAGGAGCCTCCGCGCATCTGGGGCAGGGCCCTGGAAGGAGGTGGTCCCAGGTGTCCCTCTGCTGTGTCCTCAGAGGCTCTGCTCCTGGTCCCTGGGTGGCCCCAAGCTTGTCCACATGGGCTCGCTGATCTCTCTATGTATAGGAATGGGCTGGCTGGGACTAGCCAGGCCTTGGGCCCAGGAGTGGTCTTGGCTAGGGGCTGGTCTGGGCACAGGTGGACTAGGCCAGCACAGGGTTGAGTCATCCTGAGTCTGGGAACTGGGGAGCCCCTGAGGTGGCCAGCGGTCTTACCCCTTGGAGGAGCTGGGGCAGCTCTGGGTGTAGGTGGACACAGCCCAGCACTGCATCCCCGTTCGTGGGCCGGGAAGGCAACTGCAGGGATACAGGGGCTGGTCTGCGCCATCGCCTCTTCTGTAAGCGAGGCCCAGGGGGAGTAGGAAAGGACACGCTTCCACTCAGTGTCACGTGGGGCCCAGAGGGGTCCACCTGTCCCTAGCGCCTGCTTGGTCAGACAGGTGTAAACACTGGCTGACTCCTCTCTCTGTTTCCCAGGCCACCAGTCATCCCTGTGGGGCTAACAGGTGCTCCTGGCTTGGCTGCAGAAGGGGTGGCGTCTGCACTGCTATGGCTGGGAGGCCCGCGGGCCAGACATGCCACCCAGAACCCAGCCAGCCAGGGGCCCCACCCTTAGCCCTAGCATCCATCAAGGGGAGCTCTGAATGTTTGTGCCCAAGTCAAGGCAGCAGGGGACGGCATTTGAGAAGGACGGTGCTAAGCTGACTTACATCTGAATACTTAGAGCTTTCATTTCTATTTTGTATTTTTTAAAGTATGACATGAGTATATAAGCTAATACAGCTAGCAGGTGTTAGTAAAGAGGTCATGATAGAGTCTTAGAAAAAGGAGAGCAGCCGGGCGCAGTGGCTCATGCCTCAGCACGTTGTGAGGCTGAGGTGGGCGGATCACGAGGTCAGGAGATTGAGACCATCCTGGCCAACATGGTGAAACCCCGTCTCTACTAAAAATACAAAAATTAGTTGGGCATGGTGGTGCATGCGCCTGTAGTCTCAGCTACTCAGGAGGCTGAGGCAGGAGAATTGCTTGAACCCAGGAGGCAGAGATTGCGCCACTGCACTCCAGCCTGGCAACAGAGCAAGACTCTGTCTCAGTAAAAGAACAGTCCAGTGTTGCAGTACAGAGAGGTCAGAATGGCAGGGCGCAGGCCTCAGCTGAGGTGCGCTTTGCATTTAGGACACAGCTCGGAGCCACAGCAGGTCAGCAGGAGCGCATCTGTGGCACCTTCAGAACCAGGCTGGGTGAGGGAGCCCGAGTGGGGGTTGGGGGGCAGTCAGGGCTGTGCTTCGCTGCCTGGGCCCTTGTAGATGGCCTTCTCCAGGGCGTCCGCCACCTGCCTGTATTCCAGGAACGATGGGTAGTTTGTGCATTCAAAGCGGCTGCTCCCACGCACGTGTGCCAGGAATTCTGGCGCGCCTGGGCAGATCACATTGTCAGCCAGCAGCACTGTCCCCTTCCGCAGCAGGCCACATTCCTGCAGGGGACAGACCAGAGGGTGGGGGAGGTGAGGGTCAGAGGTGCACAGAGAACCTGCCCCGAAGGCACCACGCGTGGCCTGTGCCTAGCCCCTGGGGCCAGGTTTCTGCTTTCTGCCCAGCATGACCCCTGCAGGAAAGGACAGTACAAGACTCGAGTGCCACCTGTAGAACATGGGCCCCGTGAGGACAGGGACCTTTCTCTCATCCACTCCTGTATCCGTCTCAGGAGTATCCATCCCTAGAACGGCATGTGGCAGTGGCACACAGGAGGTGCTCAATAAATGCTAGCTGGATGAATTGAGTGAAAACAGTGGGGCCCTCAATACCCAGTGCCAGAAATTCAGGCACCTACGAGGGAGAGGTACCCAGGGAGTGTGTTCCCTGGAGACAACACTGGCCTGACCAGGGTGATCCTGCAGGGCTGGGGTGGGGCGGACCTCTAACCAATAAGCCTGCCCTTTGGGGTCAGTTAGGGACATTCCCAAGCTCCTGCATTTGCAGAATTCCCCCATCTCCACTGGTGCCTGGTACCTGGGAGGATTCCTCTGCCTGGGTTCCGTGCAGAAGGAAGGGGTTGTTACTGGACGTGCAGCCACAGAGCGTGGCCCCTGGGGTCCACCATCGGGAGAAACCTCAGAGGATGCTTGCCCATCAAGGCTGCAAGGAGGGTTTGCTTACATCACATAAACAATAGAGAAGCCTTGAGAGAAAGTATCTGTCTGTGGGCAGGAGGGACTGACCAGGGCACAGGACACCCCAGTTACCTTGTCTTGGAGATTTGACTTAGTCATCAAACAAAAGTTAACAGGCAATCTCAAACATGTAAAGTATAATAAAATCGGCTGGGCGCAGAGGCTCACGCCTGTAATCCCAGCACTTTAGGAGGCCGAGACAGGCGGATCACAGGTCAGGAGAGCGAGACCATCCTGGCCAACACGGTGAAACTTTGTCTCTACCAAAATTTCAAAAAAACTAGCTGGGCGTGGTGGCTCGCACCTGTAGTCCCAGCTACTCAGGAGACTGAGGCAGGAGAATTGCTTGAATGCAGGAGGCAGAGGTTGCAGTGAGCTGAGATCGCACCACTGCACTCCAGCCTGGGTAACAGAGTGAGACTCCACCTTAAAAACAAAAAAATAAAAATAGGCCGGGCGCGGTGGCTCAAGCTTGTAATCCCAGCACTTTGGGAGGCCGAGGTGGGTGGATCACAAGGTCAAGAGATCGAGACCATCCTGGTCAACATGGTGAAACCCCGTCTCTACTAAAAATACAAAAAATTAGCTGGGCGTGGTGGCGCGCGCCTGTAATCCCAGCTACTCAGGAGGCTGAGGCAGGAGAATTGCCTGAACCCAGGAGGCGGAGGTTGCGGTGAGCCGAGATCGCGCCATTGCACTCCAGCCTGGGTAACAAGAGCGAAACTCCGTCTCAAAAAAATAAATAAATAAATAAATAAATAAAAATAAAAATTAAAAAATAAATAAATAAATAAATAAAAATAAAGTATAGCAGAGTCAGTTCACAGGCAGGTGCCTTGAGACTGGCATCTGACCCCACATCCCTCTGGGATGCGCCTAGAGAGTCCACAGGGCTTGCAGCCATCCTGGTGGTGGGTGGCAGTCGTTCCCAGCCTGCGTGCTGTGGAGACGGCAGAGAGGCTCTCAGGTGACAGCGTGGACACCACATGACTCCAAGGTCAGTGAGGTCAGGGGAGAGCCCCAAGGTCCGGAGTTCGACAGAATGTACCACCACGGATCACGATGTGTTTTCATTTAGAAACAAACAACAACAACAAAAAGAGAACCAAGCACCACCCAGGAGGATGACAGCGGCCCAGGTTCTAAGCAGGGTGGCTGCCTTCTGGTCTGGGCCAGGGAATGTACAAGATGAGTGAGGGTCCTGGGCTCCCAGACTCTTAAGGTCGCGCCAGGGGACTCAGGAGCCCAATCTGGTCATCAGGGAGACAGATGCCAGCAGTGGGCTGAAAGGCACCAGACACGCCAGCTGCGTGGGTTAAACAGAAAAGGAGGGGAAGGCAGCATGGAGCATGGGTCACCTCCGGAGGCTGCCAGGGGCCCGATCCTTTAGGAAACTGGTCAAGAGGGGAAAAGGCAGCACCCACCCTGCCTGTCCCCAGATACTGCAAACATATCAGCTGGCCACTCCGACTACCTGGAGAACTGGCTGAATGCACATCCGTGTCGGAGCAAGACTGAGAATCTAATGCCGTGGAGAAGTGACAGTGTCAGAGGGGCAGGGGACACTATGCTGAGGTGGTTTTCAACTGTGCCCACCCTCCTGAGACTCTCCTCCCTTCAAGAGTTGGAGCCTCGGCCAGGCACATGCCCAGAATCCCAGCACTTTTGGGAGGCCGAGGCAGGTGGATCACCTGAGGTCAGGAGTTCGAGACCAGTCTGGGCAACATGGTGAAACCCCGTCTCTACTAAAAATACAAAATTAGCTAGGCATGGTGGCGCACACTTGTGATCCCAGCTACATGGAAGGCTGAGGCAGGAGAATCCACTTGAACCAGGGAGGCGGAGGTTGCGGTGAGCCGAGATCGCGCCATTACACTCCAGCCTGGGCAACAAGAGCAAAACTCCGTCTCAAAAAAAGAGGTGGAGCATCACAGAGGTTGCTGTGAGCCAAGATTGTGCCACAGCACTCCAGCCTGGGTGACAGAGCGAGACTCTTTGTCTTGGGAAAAAAAAAAGTTGGAGCTTCAGTCTGGGCACACTTGTATTCCCAGTACTTTGGGAGGCTGGGGTAAGAGAATCGCTTGAGGCCAGGAGTTTGAGACCAGTCTGGGCAACATAGGGAGATGCCATTTCTACAAAAAACGTTTAAATTAGCCTTGCGTAGTGGTGCGTGCCTGTAGTCCCAGCTACTCAGGAGGCCTGAGATCTGGAGTTTGAGGCTACAGTGAGCTATGATGGCATCATTGCGCTCCAGCCTGGGCATAGAGCAAGACCCTGTCTTTTTTTTTTTTTGTAAAGGGGGAGCTCATTCCTGTTCCTTTGGGTGTAGGCTGGACTTGGTGACGATGGCAGCCCTGTGGAGAGGCCACTTCGAAGCAGCCATCGATTTTGAATTGCCACCTGCTCCTGAGCCCCTCACCCCCCCATGCCTCTGATGCTCACAGAGCCCACTGAAGAAGGGGTGGCTGGGCCCACAAAGAGCCAGCCTGTCACCCAACCTTCTGCAAGGGGGCACAGGGCCCCGGCTGTGAGTGTGCAGATGTGTGTTTAACAAGGACAGCCATTCCCAATTCATGACTTTGCTTCCTTTGAGATAATTACCAGCTCTGCACGAGCAGCACTGAGAAAACTATTAGTTTCTTAGTTATTAAACTGCAGTGTTTGCTACTTTTCCATAAAGGCAGGTTCGTGTGATTATCACACATACCACAGCTGCTGAAATCCAGCCCCAGTGACTCGGGCCCAGCTGCGGGTCTTTCCTGCTGAAGTGAAGCCCGTCTGGCTGAGCGCCGGCCCTCTGCCGTCAATACCCAGTTGCCACAGCTGCCCTGTCCTGGCCTGCAGGTCTCCCTCCCTCCCTCCCACCCTCCCACTGCCCGCCCCCTTGGCCAATACAGGTCCTCCCACTGCATGGCCAGGGCCCAGCGCCTCCTCGTGACTTCCAGAGCATCTGAAATGCCCTCCCCACAGCCCTCTATTTCCACACTCCACAAGGCTGACGGATCTTTCCAGAAAACAAGGTTTTTGGGTGTTTTGTTTTTGAGACGGAATCTTGCCCTGTTGGCCAGGCTGGAGTGCAATGACGCAACCTCAGCTCACTGCAACCTCCACCTCCTGGGTTCAAGCGATTCTCCTGCCTCAGCCTCCTGAGTAGCTGGGATTATAGGTACGTGCCACCAGGTCTGGCTAATTTATTGTATCTTTAGTAGAGACAGGGTTTCACCATGTTGGCCAGGCTGCTCAAACTCCTGACCTCATGATCCGCCCACCTCAACCTCCCAAAGTGCAAGGATTACAGGCATGAGCTCCCAAGCCCGGCTCCAGAAGACGGGTCTAATCTCACCCTCACCTGCTGAAGGTCCTGTGTGCCCTGACTCCCGTTCCTGGATCATCCTGCGCCCTTTCACACTCAGGCTTCCGCTAGTGCTGGTTCCGTCCAATCCGTGTCCAGGGCCCAGCAGCTCTACCCAGCCAGGCATGGGGGCTCTGCCCCTCGTGCTCCTGGTCCTGCTGCCAACAGCAGTGTCATTTCTGGGAGAGCTGCAGGTGAGCGAGCACCAGATGGGCAGGTCGTGGGGGGTGGGTGTCCCAAGCCCACTGGAGGATCACAGAGCCACACAGTGTCGCTGACCATCAGAGAGGCGTGGGGCAGTGTGTCTTTGATGTGAGGCTCTTTAAGCATCAGTTTGTGAAGAGCCACCAGTGCCCACGCCCCCCTGGGAGGATGGACAGCCCCACCCACTGCCTAGCCTCACTCGGGGGCACTGCCTCGCCCGTGGCGCTGGGTTGGGAGAGTGCATAAGACAGGGCCTCAGGAGGAGGATCTGCAGGAGATGTGCTTTCTCTGCACCAGCACCAGCTCACCTGGGGGAGAGCAGGCCGAGCCCCAAGCGGCCCCTCCCCACCCTGTCTCCTAGGTCCTGTGCCCTTGCTGCCCTGGTGTCTAGTCTGGGGTGTGCACCCCACTTGTGCCACCCAGTTTGTCCCTGCACAGGCAAGCTGGCTCCCCAGTTCTCAACAGGCCACGCAGCCAGGCCCTTGGCCCGGCTCTCCACCCGGCTCCACCCACCGCAGGGCCTCCTCAGCACCCCCAACACTCCCAGACCTCAGGTGGTGCCTCCAGAGCAAGCTGTGCCCACACAGGCCTCGGCTGGGGTGCCTGACTCTTTGGAGGGGCTGCGGCTGACCGAATGGGCCCTGGGCAGCAGCTGGCACGGGCCATCCCGGTCGGGGCTCACCTCCAGGAGGAGCGTGTCCGGCAGGTAGCGGTCCTTCCAGTGGTCAAGGAAGACCATGTCCAGCGTGTCCACATCATACTTCTTCTTCAGCTGGGGGATGATGTCCTGGGATGCCCCGACCACAACGGTGACCTGGAACAGTGCCTGTCAGTGCCCACGCCCACGCAGACAGGAGCCCATCCCAGCACCACCATACCCATATAGGTGTTCATCGGTTTTCCTTAGGGTTCTGGGGAGACAAGGCCCCTCTCTGTCTCTGCCCCTCCTGGTACCACCTTGGCAATTTCCCAAGAGTGTGAGACCACCCTCACCAAGCTGCCTGGGGGGGTCCTTCCTCAGCCCCAGGCCGGGAAGCACTGAGGGGCCTGGTGACGGTGGGTTTTCAGTGAACATGGTGTGAACCAGGCCCTCCCTGCCCACAGCCCGGGCCCTTCTTCCAGGTCTGACAACGGGCCAAGCATGCGGACCTTGTCCTGCACGCCTGCGAAATCCACCATCCGCTGGGTGATGGCAGCGTAGTCGGGGTTGATCTCGATGGTGAGCAGCCTTGCGCCCGGTGACAGCAGGCGGGCCATGCGCACAGCCGAGTAGCCGCAGTAGGCCCCCAGCTCCAGCAGCACGGAGGGCTGGTGTTCCTGAATCACCGCATCCACGATCTCGCCTGTGCAGCGTGGGGGACGGGGAGGAGTGAGCACAGGCGGAGGGAGGGGAACCTGGACCCTGTCACGGCCCCCCAACCGCTCCCAAAGAGCAACAGCCCCTCCCAAATGCCTGGCCTCTGGCCCTTCCTCCCTACCTGCTGGAGGGGTCTTTTACCTCCCTGGGGTCCCAACCCCAGGGACCTGGCCCCTACAGTGAGTACCATGGTTCCTTAGCCTCTATGCCCATACTGGTCCCTGACTTTTCCACCCTTCCTGGCTGGCCCTAGGGTGTCCTAATCCAGAGCTGCCTTCTCTGGAGCCCCAAACCCCAGGGGGGCAACAAGTTCCTTGTTGCCTCCCAGCTGGCTTCCCGAGTCACTCCCTGAGTCAGGCAGCACAGCCTGGGGTACAAGCAGGGGTGGCCAGGAGAATCTGCCTGACTGGTTCCCAGGCAGGTCCCTTGGTGGCCACAGCGAAGTTCTAGGGGAACCAAACTACTGTTAAACCCTGTGAGTGTAGGAGCCTGATGTCCTGAAGCAGGCAGCAGGGTCTAGAGGAGTCATCAGGGACCCTGGTGCCCTGGGACATCAGAGGAGCCCCCCACCCCCAGCCCTATCTGGGCATATCCCAGGGTTCCCAGCCACCCGGAAATGGGGTGATAACAACCCTCTCCCATGACGGCTGCGGTGCCTGGCCCCGAGTCCCTGTCCCAGGGCTCAGCATCTGCCGGCCAGAACCCCACCTTTTTTGCTGCCCACGTTCATGGCCCACTCCTTCTGCTCGCAGTAGGTATCAATGGCCTCCAGCACGCTCTGTGCGTTCCCGCGCTCCGCATGCTGCAGCACGTGGTGCAGGATGCGCTGTTCCTTGGTGTCACCCATGAGCAGGTTGCGGATAGGCTGCAGGACGCACTCGTTCCACAGGATCAGCCACAGGCCCCAGCTCCAGTGCCTCAGGAGCAGCCGCTGCACGGCCAGCAGCACCAGGCCCAGCGCGGCTGCCAGCAGCAGAGGCGGGGCTTCCAGCATCTGCAGGGCGGAAGGGGCCGGGCGCCAGTGCTCTGTGCCCTTCCTGCTGCACCTACACGCCCCTCCGCTTGGGGTGCTACCATCATCCCCTCGTGTTCCCAGGGGGGCAGGTTTCAGAGAAGCCGGCCACGCTTCAGTTGCCTAAGGGGTCAGTGCCGGGAGCTCGCCTTCCCGCCCCCTCCAGCGCCCTCGCGTGGACAGAGCAGGTGAGTGCCTGTGGCAGTCCTGCGTGGAGCCTGCCAGGTCGCACGCCCTAGCCCTGGGTGCTTCCCCAAGCGGCCCAAGGATTCTCTCTCTCCTTTTTTTTTTTTTTTTTTTGAGACAGAGTTTCACTCTTGTTACCCAGGCTGGAGTGCAATGGCGCGATCTCGGCTCACCGCAACCTCCGCCTCCCGGGTTCAGGCAATTCTCCTGCCTCAGCCTCCTGAGTAGCTGGGATTACAGGCACGCGCCACCATGCCCAGCTGATTTTTTGTATTTTTAGTAGAGACGGGGTTTCACCATGTTGACCAGGATGGTCTCGATCTCTTGACCTCGTGATCCACCCGCCTCGACCTCCCAAAGTGCTGGGATTACAGGCTTGAGCCACCGCGCCCGGCCCTTTTTTTTTTTTTTTTTTTTTTTTTTTTTTTTTTTTAAATTAAGAATCTTGCCCTGTCACCAGGCTGGAATGCAACTTATGCCTCCTGGGTTCAAGCGATTCTTCTGCCTCATCCTCTCGAGTAGCTGGGACTACAGAGCCGCCCGCCACCATGCAGCCCAGGGATTCTCTAAAACCACGCAGAATACAGAAGCAACATGGACCCTGGCTGTTGTCTCCCAGCTGGCTTAGAGGAAACCCAGGTGCAGGGAGGCCCCATGGCCCGGAGTTGGGGGTATTGAGGGCTGGCTCTAGGAGAGGCTGTGTGGTGCAGCCCCTCAGCCCCGTGTGGGGAGCCCGTGCTGGTCACCCATGCTCTGGATGCCCCAGATTCATGTGGCCCTTTTATTGAGTTTCCAAGTAAGGACGCTGGCGGATACAGTGAAATTATGGCGAATGACCGCACTTGAAACTCATTTCAAATCCAGAGTGACCCTCTGGACAGGTAGCCTGGAAACCAGTCAGAAAGAAGCCTGGTGAGGGGACCCAGCAGACAGAGAGCAGAGCAGAGGAGGCCTGAGGCAGAAGCCCAGGGGTTCAGATCACAGACTCTGAAATGGGACGGGACACAAGGAAACTAGGGTCCCTGTGATCACTCAGAGGTCTTTCTGGGATGGGCCCTGGACTCCCAGTGGCACAGGAGATCCCACTCTCCGCTGGATGCTCTGCGTTAGGAAGGCACACCCAGTCGAGGCGGCAGCCCCTCAACTTCCAGGGCCACAGAGGGACACCCCCTGGAAGCCGGCCTCAGGGCACCAGAGGACACAGCAGAAGAGAACAAGGAAGCAGAGGCTCTGCCCTAGGGAGAGACCATGTGGACACCAGGTTTCTAGGGGGTTTCAGGCCACGTGGCCTATTTACACAGGCAGAGTGGACGTGTGGTCAGCAGGCCTGTGCACATGCACCAGGCTGGAATCTGTACCTGCCCTAGACTGTCCCCAGCTTCCATTGGCCAACTCACCTTCAGAGCACCTCTGAGCAGGCTTCAGCCCTCTGGCTTCGGGAAGGGTCTGGGCTCTCCTTCTCTGAGCTCAGCAGCAAAGCAGATGTAATTTCTGTGGAGATCAGTTTTACTTCTGGATAATCATCAACAGAAACCCTAACCTGGCAATGACCAAGATCCAGATATCTGAGCCCCTTCCCCGGAGGCCAGCCTGGCCTGAGCCTTCCCTAGCAGGGTGAGGGCAATGCTTCACCTTTCTGGCCTCAGAAGAGACAGCAGAAGGCCTCAGAGACGCCAAGGGACGTCCCTACTAGTGTCCCCCAGTCAGGGACCCCAGATGTGGGAGTGAAACACAGGAGGAAGGAGCCACTTCGCTCAAGTTGTATTTCCCCTGAAGAGTCATTAGTACCTTGGAAATGTGTAAGATCAAGGGCTAGTTTACCAAGAATACACACAAACCAGTAAGAGAAAGATGACAGATGGGTCACAGTGGCCAACATGCAGCTCACAGGAAAAGGCCAAAGGCCAATGGGGGTGCCCCTGTCCACAGCTGCAGGAGTGACTCATGCCACCTGCTGCTGCCACCCTGGGGAAGGGTCCAAGGTCTGCAGGGCAACCGATGGCTTCCCTAAAGACAGTGTCCTTATTCTGGCAGGAGGATGACGGGGAACCGTAGTGGAGAGGGACCATGCAGACTTTCCACCTTGCTTCTTTCTTCATGGGCGGAATTTCCTTCGACACTCCTAGTTGCTCTGTTTACTATTTATCTGTTCCGGTTTATTTATCTATTATGACTGCCAGTAGTATTTGTGTGGTCAGATAATGGGCCATTTTATTTACTCTCTGTACTTTAAAAACACGAGTAAGTGTTAGAAATAAATATCCCAAATTGAAAGGGCTATTCTACTGAAACAGCAAATGACTTGGTAGTCTTTGGAGTCCCGAAGTATAAATCCTTGCGTAATGCTTGAATTGTGTAAGAATTTGGCTTTGGAATCTCTAATCTCTAGGTCCATCTGTTCATGTTTGTAGGCAGTGTCCCCCAGGGCCTAGTGGGGACGCAGCAGAGGGGAGGAGGCCCCTTCCTTTGCCAGGCAGGAGGGGCTGGCCCACTCCACTCTGCAGGCTGCGCCCAGCTGGTGCCAGGAGGCACCCTGTGCCCTCCTGTCCCACCTGCCCGCGGCTAGGAGGCCAACCGGGCCCCAGTGGCCAAGAGCCATGGGGGCTGGGGAAGCGCTGGAGGCCAAAGACTCAAAGGCCAACACGCCCCGGCCCCCACGCAGTGCCCGTGAAAAGGGGCTTCAAGTGCCCACCTCACGAGGCCCTCCAGCCACCTCCAGAGGAGAGAGCTGGGATTCCCTTGTGAGGATGAGGAACTGAAGCCAGAGCAGGGGGACTGGCTGCCCCAGGCCACCAGCCGAGCGCCGGCCCCCGCCCACCCCATCTCCCCACCGCCTTTCTCGGGCTAACCACCTACGCTCCACCCCAGCCGCGTGGGATCTCCCAGCTAGTGTGTGGGAGGCCCCGCCCACCAGACCTCGAGGAAGACGGGACCACGCCCACACAGCCAGGAGGAGGGCGGGACCACGCCCACACAGCCAGGGGGAGGGCGGGACCACGCCCACACAGCCAGGGGGAGGGCGGGACCACGCCCACACAGCCAGGGGGAGGGCGGGGCCACGCCCACACAGCCAGGGGGAGGGCGGGGCCACGCCCACACAGCCACGCGCCCACCTGGCCAAGCGAGGGCTGATCCTGCGCAGTCACCGGCCACTGTCCAGTTTGGCTGGACGAAAGGGCAGGCCGGTCCCGAAAAGCCGAGAATCAGGCCTCCTTTTAAAGAAAGCCACGTAGAAACCCGCCCACACCACTCAGAGCTGCTCGGATGTTCCCAGCGTGGGGATTTTGCCCCGTCAGCCCTTCACGGGGGAAAAAGGAACAGCTCCTTTAGTTTGGGGTCCCAGGATCCCAGAGTGGGCACGCCAGCTCAGTGTCCGACTCTGGACCCCTATGATCCGATCGGCTTACTTTGGCTGCGTGGCCTGGGGAGCCTTAAGAGTCCCCCTTACCTTGCAGAGATGTAAAAAGAAAGAGTTTTGAATGCCCCGGCAATGGGGGAGTGCGGCAGGTGCAGGCGAGAGGATTGAGGGGAATCCTTTCCGCTTTTGTGTATGTTTGAAATGTGCTGTTTTGTTTTTTGTTTCGAGACAGGGTCTCACTCTGTCGACCAACCTGGAGTGCAGTGGCACGATCACAGCTCACTGCAGCCTCGATCCTCCTGCCTCAGCACCCCAAGTAGCTGGGACTAGAGATGGGCACCACCCCACACCGGCTTTTGTTTTTGTTTTGTAGAGACGGGGTGAAGAGGGTGTTCTCAATATTTTGCCCAGGCTGGTCTCCTGAGCTCAAGCAATCCATCCCCTTGGCCTCCCGAAGTGCTGGGATTACAGGCGTGAGCCACTGTGACCTGCTGGCTTTTTTTTTTTTTTTTAAATAACAAGTGTTAGCAAGGATGTGATGAAATTGGAACCTTCCTGCATTGCTGGTGTGAATGCTGTGGAAAATAGTTTGGTAGTCCTTTTTTTTTGGAAGGGGAAAAGAAAATTTAATGGGCACCTGCAAAGAACCAGGCCCTTTCACATTGCTCTTGTCTTTTTTTTTTTTTTTTTTTTTTTTTTGAGACGGAGTTTCACTCTTGTTACCCAGGCTGGAGTGCAATGGCACGATCTCGGCTCACCACAACCTCCGCCTCCTGGGTTCAGGCAATTCTCCTGCCTCAGCCTCCTGAGTAGCTGGGATTACAGGCACACACCACCATGCCCAGCTAATTTTTTGTATTTTTAGTAGAGACGGGGTTTCACCAAGTTGACCGGGATGGTCTCGATCTCTTGACCTCGTGATCCACCCGCCTCGGCCTCCCAAAGTGCTGGGATTACAGGCTTGAGCCACCGCGCCCGGCTTTTTTTTTTTTTTTTTTTTTCTATGAAAGAAAAAGAAAGAAAGAAAGAAAGAGGAAGAGAAAGGGAAAGAGAGAACAGGAGTCTTGCTCTATTGCCCAGGCTGGAATGCAATCTAAAAATAGGTATTAAAAACGTCATTTATGCCAGTAATTGTACTTAACAGTGGAGACAGGAAGGAATAAGGGAAGAAAATAACAAACAAACAGCCAACCTATATTTCATTTAAGTCTGTGAAATGCTATGCAAATGCTGAAGAGTGATTTACTTCCATTTATGTGGTCACTTGTTCCAGGCCTGAGTTCAAATCATAAATGTCCCTGTTAATTTTCTATCTCGTTGATCCATCGAATATTAACAATGTGGTGTCAAGTCTCCCGCTATTATTGTGTGGGGAATCCAAGTCTCTTTATAAGTCATTAAGAACTTGTCGGGCCGGGCGCGGTGGCTCAAGCCTGTAATCCCAGCACTTTGGGAGGCCGAGGCGGGTGGATCACGAGGTCAAGAGATCGAGACCATCCCGGTCAACATGGTGAAACCCCGTCTCTAATAAAAGTACAAAAAATTAGCTGGGCATGGTGGCGCGTGCCTGTAATCCCAGCTACTCAGGAGGCTGAGGCAGGAGAATTGCCTGAACCCGGGAGGTGGAGGTTGCGGTGAGCCGAGATTGTGCCATTGCACTCCAGCCTGGGTAACAAGAGCGAAACTCTGTCTCAAAAAAAAAAAAAAAAAACGGTCAGGAGTTCGAGACCAGCCTGATCAACATGATGAAACCCCGTCTCTATTAAAAAAAAAAAAAAAAGAAGAATGTGGCCAGTCCTGGCGCCTCACGACTGTAATTCCAGCACTTTGGGAGGTTGGGATGGGAGCATTGCTTGGGCCCAGAAGTTCCATACCAGTCTGTGCAACATGGCAAGACACCATCTCTACAAAAAATTTAAAAATTAGGCCGGGTGTGGTGGCTCATGCCTGTAATCCCAGTGCTTTGGGAGGCCGAGGCGGGCAGATCACCTGAGGTTGGAAGTTTGAGACCAGCCTGACCAACATGGAGAAACCGCGTCTCTACTAAAAATACAAAATTAGCCACGTGTCGTGGCACATGCCTGTAGTCCCAGCTACTAGGGAGGCTGAAGCAGGACAATCACTTGAACCCTGCAGGAAGGGGCAGAGCTTGCAGTGAGCCAAGACTGTGCCACTGTACTCCGGCCTGGGTGACGGAGAGACTCTATCTCAAAAAAAAAGAAAAAAAAAAGAAATTGTTAAAATGGTAAACTATATATTCCATCTATTTTGCCATGATTAGAAAAACATGGCTGGGCACACGCCTGTAATCCCAGCACTTTAGGAGGCTGAGGCTGGTGGATTACCTGAGGTCAGGAGTTCAAGACCAGCCTGACCAACATCGTGAAACCCTGTCTCTACTAAAAATATAAAAATTACCCGGGCATGGTGGCGGGTGCCTGTAATCCCAGCTACTTAGGAGGCTGAGGCAGGGAGAATTGCTTGAACCTGGGGGGCAGAGCTTGTAGTGAGCAGAGATTGTGCCATTGCACACCAGGCTGCGTGACAGAGTGAGGCTGTCTCAAAAAAAAAAAAAAAAAGGCAAACCCTGTTCCTGGCCCTCCCCATTCCACAAATGTAAAGGGCCATGCCATTATCCATAAGGAGATGGGATACAAAAAAAAAGAGCGCAGCTTCCGCCCCCTGGGAGACACAGGCACTCAGGAGAGCCTCTCTGCCAACCACAGCTGCCGCTGCTGCCCATCTGGCCGCTGCCCATTGCAGCTCAGCCCAGCGGCAGGGTCTGCATGCTGCCCCTTGGAGGGACACGCATCTTCCTTCTGCAGGAGAAGGGGCCCTCTTGATCACAGAATATGCGCACCCATGCCCTTCCTTCCAATATGCATGCAGTCTGTGTGGCCAGCGGCCAGCCAGGATGGACCACATCCTTCACTCACAGTTGGCACAGAGAAGGGCAAAGGCAGGCCCTCTCTCCCCAAACAGCAACCACACCCCAGCTTCCCCCAGACCTTCCTTATTATAAGCCTGTGCTGGAGAATTCTCCCTGCAAGACCTACCCCAAAACCTGTGACCTCCAACTTCCATCACTGTGTATCTTTCTGGAGACGTGAAGGGGGCAATCAACGCTTGGCAT